ACACCCCTTGAATTTAACGAGGACCTTCACATCGGCTGGAACAAGAATAATGAATTATCATTTTCACGTAATTCATCGTTCAAGAAAAAAACCCACCCCATTAGCTTTTTACGACAATTGTCCGATGAGTTGGCCATAATCATAAAGTCCTCTGTGCCGGTTTATTTGTAGTAAAAAAAAAGACGCTGAATAAAGCTTCGCGCGGGGGTGTTCCTGGAACTGAACTGAAAGTGGGAGAAACGCGTGAGAAAAAGATAGAAAGTATTTGAACTGTTTGTCCAACCCTTCATTCCAAGTTACGCTGTGCACGTAACAACATCGAAAAAGTGAAAACACATCCAGGTGAGTGGAGAGCAGATCGTTTATTTACATAATCATTTGAAGTTGAAACTTGGAAAGTTTTCTGAAAAAGTATTAGCAAAAAGGTCAGTCACTGGGGTCAAAATTTTGATAAAACTGTCGTTATTTATACGTATCACAATTTAGTACAAATTTTGTTTACGAATCTTTTGAATGTATTTGTTTAAAGATACATTGCAAAATTAAGATATTGAAATAGACAATAAAACGTGTCCTATACATTTTTTTGATAGGATTTTTCGTTTTTGTTCGAGAAATTGGTTTTTGAATTCATCTGAAACTCGTCGGAATATCCGAAAGTAACGCATTGAAGTATGACAATAATGAATTTTATGAAGTACTTAGTACAATTTATATTTTTAAGTGCCTACCTATTTTAGAGACAAACAAATTGGTACGATGAATTTTGTAGGAGTAATTTCTTATAAATCTATTAACAATTACTGAGTTTCATTAATTTTGAACTATTTCGACATACTACAAAAATATTGTTCTTTGTACAGAGTGACGCAAATCTTACCAGTTTTAATATCTCTAAAACGAATGTAATTTGCTTCAAATGTTCCATCAGCAATTTACAAATTGACAACATCTTTGTTGAGAATAAACCATCAACTAAATTTCTGGGACTATCTATTGACAGTGATTTGAAATTTGAAGACTGTTACCGAGTTGGAACCCGTTCAGCAAAAAGCTCACATTAAAGCCGCAGAGATCACCTTACTTCTGCGGAAACACAAGGATAAGCCAATGCAAGGGGGTTTCTTCAATAACATTGGAGACCTTGGCTTATCAAAGCGCATGACGTTCGCTTTTCTCAGGTCGAGTGGGCTGAAGTCGGAAACTGAGGGGTTCATCTTGGCATGCCAGGATTGTGTCTTCACCACCTTAGTCTACCGCAGTCGAGTGATGTGTATAGAGGTTCCTGACACAAGGTGCAGGGCCTGCCAGGAGGCGCCTGAAACCCTGATGCACTTGCTATCAGCATGTCTAGCATATGCGGTCTCAGCCTATATCCATCGACATAACGCGGCCATAAGAGTGCTATATTACCATCTAAGGCACTCTTACGGTATTGAGGAGACACCGGTGTTGCGGAATTTATTGGAACTATCCATTCCCTCAGGCTCATGTAGTCCTTCTCGACCACCAGAGCAAGACGATATTTGTCGTGGAGTTTTAAGCCTGGCGAGACGAATATGGTTCAAAAAGAGGAGGTGCAACGGATAAAATATTGAGATTTTCTCTTCGAACTCCGCAGACTCTATCCAGACCACTCTGTCAAATAATTGCTCACTGCGCTTGCTCAGGGCACATGATTCTCGGAGCCAATGATCATTTACTTCACGGCGTGGGGAATGGCCATTGGTTGATAATGCTGGCGCCCCCTCCCAAATGTATCGGGGCTTCGGAGGATACGGCCTGACAAGCGCATACTACGTTAAAAAAATGATAATAATAGTAATAATAATAATTGTAGTTCATTGAAAAAAGTCACAATTTTAATATTTTTGATCAACTGGCTATCGATCGAGGTCCTTCCGTCGGTGTTACAAATTTGCTTTGAATTACATAGATTCATTTCATAATATCTCTCAAAAAATAACCCATATATGAATGTGAAACAAGCATATTTTATGTAGAATTATTTTTGATGAAAAGAGACAACTAGAAAAATTTAAAATATCCTTTTCTCTGTCGCATGCGCAAACATTTTATTGATGTCAGTGTTATTTATTTCTTTTGCTTTTGCATTTAGACGCTACATTTACGTCCAGCGTTCTACAAGTAGGGGCGCAAGTAATTCGTTTTTTGTTTTAACATTTCCAATCACGTGTTTTTCGAGTAATTGAAGTGTAAATTTCAATAAATAGCTCAAAATTGTACATAATGAATTCGAGTTTTTCTCGATTTTTTGCATTTTCTGAAAACATTTACTAGAGTAATGTATATTATTTTTACATCATCAGGAAGTAGAGATTCCAACAAACAAAAAGCAAACCGACGTTTTGAAAAAAGCTGATATTTTGACGCGAGTTTACTCAGTACAAGAGATACTAACCATCAATATCATCAAATATATCGATTTCCAGATTCAGAATCGCTATACTTTTCTGAAAATTATTAAAAATGTTCAAAATTCCATTTTCAAAATTTGAGTACTATTAGAACGAGATGTTAGAAGATTATTTGTCCCTTCAATCCAACACTTTTCTGAATTTCAGGAAGAGGAATAGTTTTTTCAGTGTTAACAAGAAAGTGGGGGGAATCTTCCAAAGGAAGGAAAGAAGCAATCGATTTCAAAAAAGAACTCTATACAAAGATTTGTACGTCATGCAAAGAAGTAACTTTCAGACACAAACTGGAAGGAAAAACCCTTCCGAAACAGCCACTTTCATATAAACATTGAATTACACTGAAAAATACTTTCGAAATAATAACTTTTATATGAACACTGAATTATACAAAAAACACATTTCTCTACTAATTTTGTATTCCAAACATTCGTTATGGAATTGAATCAGATATCATTCACATGATTTCTACACACTAAACTAAATGGAACACTTGCATGGAATACTGTCATCCTCACTGGTAGACACTCGATGTTTCATCGTGAGACTGATAAGGCAAGAGTTCCTGTTTTTGAAATCGCCTGCTTTTTTACTTTCCTTGGAATATTCCCACATTTTTTTGTATACAGATGGAGAAGTAGAAAGCCAAAATCTTTGTTTCTCATGAAAGTGGGGATATTTAGTTGTCTAGTACCGAAAGAACTCAAAGTTCAGCTCCATAATATTTGTATACAATGAGTTTTGAACCTAACTTTTGTTTCAGAATGCCACCTTTTTGGTTTTTATTTGTTGCTGTTTCTTCCTCTATTGATTTCATACCAGGATCAGCAAATGCGGGTGAGGCTTGGCGAGCTCCAGGCTGCCATAAAGTTGGTGAGTGGTTATAATAATAATAATACCGCATATATTATTTCACAACCAAAACAAAAAACACAACATAACTTATATATTCAACTTACATTGAAACATTGCATCGAATCGTGAGGGTTATACTACTATGATTTTTCTCAGATCACATGCTTTTATGAGATTTTTCGTGGAAGATTAGATGATTGGCAGGTTTTCAAAAGACAGTTCTAATCTATTTTGAATATTAAGAACGATAAATGAATTATTGAAAATATTCAAGAAAATATATTCCTGAAGAGTATGAATACAAAATTTTTGATATTTCAGTTAACATTTTAGCGTATTTATTACTTTCTACAATCTCAGCCCTTTGCTTACTAATTTACTGGTCTCCTGATGATGATAACTTGTTTTACTTTTGATGTAAGGAAAGTTTTCATTAGATATATCAATATGTATAGTCGATATGATTAAAAAATGAAAATGAATGTTTTATTCACGATATGAAAGTATTTCTCAGAAATCAATGCCATTTTGTTTAAAATTGAATACATGTTTCTAAATTTCACTATGAGGAATTGTGAAATTCGCCACTGAGCTATTGGGCTCAATGTCTTTGATAATCAGCAATTATTGATAGAGTTTTGAGCAGAAATTTTTGTATATTGATAGTTATTTGCTGTTATTTAATGAAATCAAGCACATTTTTTATTTAATAGACACCCGTCAGAAATATGGTAATGATGATGTACAAAAAATTCTTTAAAATTTTGTTATCTTCATGTATTAAAAAATAACAATAAATGTTTAACTCTGAATCAAAACATTCATGAGATTTGAAGACGATATTTTAACGATATCAGTGCATTTGGTTTCCATAATAATAAAAAGAGTACGGTATTCCGAGTGTCCTATTAATGTTTATTGACGTGTGAATATGGAAACTATATTGATCCTTCATTTAGCACAAAAACTCAGGCCAGATGGCGGTGCCTGCTTGATACTTTTTCCCAACAATAATCGTTGAGTTCATCTGGGCCTGGAGCAGCAAAGTTCTTGGAACCCACAAGGGCTCTTCGAACGTCATCCGTCGTTATCAGGTTATACAGTTCATTGAGGTTGAAAGCTTTGAACTGCACTAGGGCTGGAGTATCTGAGTTGAGTGATTGCGGGTGTTAAAAGGTTAGGTTAGGTCCAAAGTGAGTGGGTCTATTCGACCCGCCACCGCAACCCACAAGGGTTTATTGTGGCTCACACCTATTCACAGTCGGCCAAATAAACCCATCTTCTTAACGATGCCGATTAGTTTGTATGGTGAGTGGTCTTTCAGGCCAGATGGTAAGAATACGGCTCTGTCGAACTCTAAAAACCTAATTCGGTCCCCAGCAGGGCAGGCACAAAATATGTACTCTGCTGTTCCATCGTTAATGAGGTAGTCGGTTAGTCAAGGTGCAAGATTCCCACCTTGATATCCGAGATAACCTTCTCAATTGAGAATTTTTGCACGTCAGCTACACCTGTCGAAGCCTTAGATTCAGCCGTGCAGGGCTTTTTGGCCTCTGGTTTAGGTGAATCATCACTTAAACTTTTACCATGGGGGGTTTGTTCCCCTACCTGAGACAGATTCCGCTCAAGAATTTGGTGCAAGGCGGTTTAGTAAGGTACCCCGCTCTTGAGGAGGCGACACAGTCGTTTCCTGGCTGCACCACTAAACCTATTTTTTAGGTTCAGTTATTGGATCATGAGTTGGGAAGTTGAGAAGCTCTCGCTTCTGAACTAAATTTACAAGGAGGTCAGTTGGAGTCGCAAACTCAACATCCATCTCCTCTGTAGACTCGCTCCTGATCTAAATTTACAGGGAGGTCAGTTGGAGTCGTAAACTCAACATCCATCTCCTCTGTAGATTCGCTTCTGAACTAGATTTACAGGGAGGTCAGTTGGAGTAGTAAACTCGACATCCATCTCCTTTGTAGACTCGCTTTTGAACTAAATGTACAGGAAGGTCAGTTGGAGGTTAAAATATGTCTTTCCAAAAGGATTCCACCTGATCAGCGATTGGTGGATTATCCACAATACGTGGAACTTGAGGTTTTCCGCGATACTCCTCGTTCGCCTCACTAGTGACTTTATAGGGGCCACTAGAATTCAAAGGAGTGCTGTTTGATGGTCGTCAACTTAAAATTTTAGCCCACCAACTTGTGTATCCGCCATTTTGCCATCCGAACTGCCAGACAGGGATTTCGTCCTTCCGATTCGGAAAGCGATCGAATGGCTGTTTAGATTCACCAGATGTCAGTCTCTTCTGTAGAATACCACAAACCTCCGCTTCGAAACGAGCCAGACCTTGTGGCTTCAGGAGCCTAGTTCTGTTGAGTGCTCTGCGTGTTCTGATTATCTCCATTGGTGGAATGATGCGAGTCTCCTCTGCAGTCGTGCCAACGGGTTGAAAAACTGTCGCTCCCACCACTTCGTCAGCAGACTGAGAAGGAGCTACGTAGCCCTGCCACCGAAGGTAGGATACGTAATCCCTAAAATTTTTGGCGGAAAAGTCGGCATGCTCCGGATGTGTTCACACCACAGAACACGCGTTCTCGCCATGTAAATCCTTCGCGCGGGCTCACTACTCTCGTAGCAATGCATAATGCCCCGTTCCCACGGGGCGTGGCACGCTGGCGTGACTCACGCATTCGTGGAAGACGACCCGTCTGAACGATGTGTAGTGAGTTTGCCTCAGTAGCCTCCGGAAGCGTGGAGAGTCCACGACCGCTCACTCTCCATATCAAACGTGTTTGATTTTGAAGCTTGAACACGACAGTTGCCAACCAGATTTTGACGAGTCGAAACGTCTTTATTTAGTGGGTTGATTAGTAGAGGGTTTTTTTTTAGTTGTGAGCGATTTATTTATAAGTGGGTAAAATGTTGAGTTGCTAACTGAATATTAACTTGAGTATGTAGGTTAATATAACTATTGTAATTATTAACATCAATTAAACTTATTTTTATGAATTCTTCGAGTTCTTTGATGATAGCCTTGCATGTTTCTGGTATAAATTTGCTTATTGTATTTTTTAGTACACGAAACAAATATTCCAAACTTTTGAAAGAGTCCCCAGTAGCTAAGTAGCGGAGCGTAACTTGGAGTTTTATTTTAGGACTCGGAGCTTGCCTCATGTTGGTGTCTGATTTTAAAATATGTTTAGTTACTCGTTCCAGGATATAATCAAACTGTTCTTCAGACATTCGTAACAAGTTTTTAAAATCTTCATGGTGATTACTCCTTAGCTCGTGGTCAACCAAATTTTGAACCTCCGAACTTCTTTTCAGTATCCACTTCCTCACCCAATAACGCCTTTTCTTCCGTTTTCTTATCTGTCCATGTAACTTTAATCTCTCACCTAAAATAGCACTGAAGGTTGAACACAAAACTGCACAACTTTCAACTAGGAGCTCGTTCATCGCGGTCGGCTTCGCAAGGAAAACTGAATCGTGAATGTGACTGTGTGTGAACTGTCCACGACACTCAGCTGGTTCGCTGCCTATCCCTACTCCAGTCGTGAGCCAAGACAGTGAGTACGAAAGAGTGGCACGATTTCGTATTTTTGCCCCGTGGGAACGCAGCTTTAGGCTATCTCTCAGCGCATGCGTCCACTCAAAGCGTCCGTTGTCATTGCCAGGGTTTTTATCGCTAGGCAAATCATCGTTATGGGCCCCACCACCTTGCCTCTGACTCCTCCGAGCGGGTCGATTGTGGAGGCACATTCGTCAACTACCAGGAACCAAGTTTTGGATCTACTGGATGGTTAGCCTTCTATACCCATGTCCGACACCGGCGGGAGTAAAGGGGTCTCTCTTCCGGGTGCATCTGGGCTTACGGTTCGGTTTTGCACCAGTTGCTAGGATAACTGGTGGGGCAACTCACCAAAGGTCTAGTGGCCATCCCTGCTTATTAATTATTATTATCAACAACACAAATGGTAACAAATTGAAAAATACGTTATTGAGAACATTCAAAAAAAGTATCACACTGGTTTCCATTGAAATGGTAGTGTGGACATGTTTTTTAGAACTTTGTGTTTCTACAAACGGTTCGCATTTTGAGTGCAACAAAGTATACTACAGTATTTTAAATTTGTCTAGAAACTTCTGAGTTTACTGAATGTATATTTTCGTTTGATCGTTTCAGATATCATTTACTTAAAAAAAAGCATCGATTCTTTCCTTCATCATAAGAATCAATGAAGGATCAATTTGTCTGAAAATAAGAAACCACTCATATTCTGGTTCACAAGATCCTTTTTTTTTGAAACTTCTGTCCAAGGGCAGCGAAAATCCAGGGCTCTTTGGTTTGGGATGACCTCTGGCAATTTTTGAAAAATTTCAAGAGGGACTCGTAAAAATTGCAAAAGTTATNGTTTCGCCATTTTCATATTCAGTAGCAAAATAAATTGGTAATCAACAAATGCGTTTTAAAGCAATGAAAAAAATTTTTAAGAAACGATTTTGTTTTTGAAAATCATAGTATTCATCACTGATAAAAATTCCCTCAAAAAAATGTCAAATACATTTGTTTATAACAATTTTTTTAACAAATCGAGCTAAAAATTATGAAAATTGATTTTTATGTTACTTTAAAACTTTTTTCAAACTTCGGATATCTTTATCATTTTCCGAAATATTTGCAGAAAACCAAACCCATATTTTCTTTTACTAAATTGTTTATAACTTTTGCAATTTTTTCCAGTCCCTCTTGAAATTTTTCAGTTGCGGTGCTCCTGGACAGAAATTCCAAAAAAAAAGGATTTTGTGACCTAGACTATTAATGGAAAGTAATTGCAATGTCATTCTGGATATAAAATATGGCAAAATACCTACCTGAATATGTTTTTTGATAGTTTGAAAAATATAGTTCCCGGAGAGAAAAACAACTCTTTTTTGTTTTTTTAGTTATCTGAGGTGCATATGAAATATTCTTGATTTTATTACATAGTCTCATTGGCCACTCATATGACTATTTGAGCAGTGTCCACAGGGTCGAATCCAATATCACATAGAAATTTTATTTTTGGGATGATTATTTTAGTTTTGGTTTCACACCAACACCACTAGTTAGCACAAAAACTGTGGAAAATAGTTTTAGCAACCACTTCTTAGATGAATTTCGTTTTTTATAGGACACACAAGAAAAATCAGCATCCCGAACTGTGTCGAGTTTCACATGACGACGAACGCTTGCAGGGGTTTTTGCGAAAGCTACGCGGTTCCTTCTCTTCCTAAGATCACTCCCACACAACCGGTTACTTCCATCGGCCAGTGTTGTAACATAATGGAGACGGAGCCAGTAGAAGCCAGAGTTTTATGTGTGGACGGAATGAGGACACTCACTTTCAAATCAGCAGTCACTTGTTCCTGCTACCACTGTAAGAAAGATTAGAGTGAGAGAGATACTGTCGAGGCGTTGATCACATATGAATATTTAAAAAATTACAAAAAAATTCAAGGTGATTTGTAAATGTGATGTACATTATATTATACTATAATTATTGTATATACTATGCTGACTGACTGATTACCAAAAATTTGTTCATTAAATTTTGTTTCGTAACTGATGTATATTATTTCTCAGTATTATCCATGTAAAAATACACTTTTGTCTATTTTCCACGATAGTTTTATGTTTGCTGACTAGTTTCGGTCATAACACCATTTTTTAAACAAACTGCAAACAAATCAAATCGTACCTTGATTACAAACAAAAAATAATTGTCTACCAAAGTTTGGTGGAAACGCACTTGAATTATGGAATAATCGGGTGGGGGGGTGTATCGCGAACTTACCTTAATATACTTGAAGTGTCTCAAAGAAAATTTCTCCGAATGATTTGTGATAAAGGACCAAGATACTCAAGTGACTCTCTCTACTCAGAAACAAAAATGCTAGATATTAGACAGCTTTATCTCAAACAAGTATGTATTAGACATCACATTAATGGAATCGAAACGAATGTGGCGACTCACTCCCATTCTACAAGACAAAAAAATAAGTACATCGTTCCACGAATGAATAAAGCAATAGGACAAAAAGGTTATCATTACTTAGCTCCCAAAATTTACAATTTCATTCCGGGAATCTTGAAAACAATAACGGTGTTAAAACAATTCAAAATAGAACTTATAAATTTCCTAAGAACAATTGATAGAAAACAAATCCATAAACTCATTGAGACTCAACAATACTGACCATGGTAAGTTTTATATTGGTATCTACTTCACTTCCTTTCTGAAAAAAAAAAACTCTGCAAAGAGGAGCCGTGGAAGACCGTCTGTGTTTACAGATACTGCAAAATATAACTATGTTNAAAACTAATTAGTTGATCTTCCTGTGTAACCTCAATTGACCCTAGTAGTTCGACAAAATGCCTTGAATTCTTCACAAAAGACGATGTTTTTCCTTGTAATGGTTGTATCAATGGAAGTAAAAATCTAGAAGTTTTGAGTAGCCGAATCTCTGGAGCTGATGATCGGTCTAAGCGGAACGTCCTTCTTGTGGATTTTGGGTAGTCCATACAAGTGAGGGGGCTCACTGTGGTGCAGTGTTAGCGTTAAACGTTTTATTCAAGAGAAAACTGAAAATTCGCTGTCGCTCATTTTATTGAGAAACTCAACAAAAGTAATATCAATGGCAACACAATCAACGGATAAAGCGTTCCTAACATTATTGAAGATGCCCAGAGTCAGAAATCGGTATTCCCGAACAATTCTCTGTCGCAGGTCTCCTAGATTTGTAGAATGTATTTAATTAGTAGTAAACGTTTTGAAATGGACGACACTGATAGTTTTTTCTGCACTGGTAGTTTTTGTTGAATCTAGTTGTCGCAGAACAAAAAGTAGGTAGTTGGCCGTTGTCACTTCTTCACGAATTATTATTCAGTGTGTTTTGTATTCCACATGGTTTATTCTACTGACGAAAGAAAAGAAATTATTGCAAACTATTATCGAAATAATACGAATCATCCAGACCACAACGTGAGCCATGAATACGTTAAACAGTTACTGGATAAGTTTCGAACTTCACGTTCTGTTCACAACAGAAAACATGAAGTATCCCGTCCTGTTAGAAATGACGTAGTTGATGTCGCAGTTTTAGGACATGTACAAATGGATAATAGACAATCTATCAGACAAGTAGCTAGAGCGTCTGGTGTATCAGCTGCTAGTCTTTTTCGGATTTTGAAAGCCTACAAATTCCATCATTTCAAAATAAGGCTAGTTCAGGAATTGAACGAAGATGATCCTGATCGTTGAGGTGAGATGTTCAGCGAGATATTGACCAATAACCAAAACCTATTATACAATACTATTCGAATGGAAGTTCTTTCATGTTGAAAGGTGAAGTGAATAGACATAATTGTCTATTATAAGACTGTGTAGATCCTATGATTACACACATTTTAGAAAATGATGACAGTTCAGTGGAAAATGAAATAACATTCCAGCAGGATGGTGCACCTCCACATTTTGATGTTCGGGTGAGACAGTTTTTGGATGAACGTTTTCCAATGCTTTGGATCGGCCGAAGGGGTCCAGTGGAGTGGTCAGCTGGATCACCTGATCTCACACCGATGGACATCTTTCTGTGGGGACACCGGAAGTCGAAAGTGTAGTCCACGCGCGAAACCGCGCGTCCGTCGAAAGACAGTGTTTAGGTTCTGGTGGAGAACCAGTGTTTTCTTTAGATTCATTTCACGCCAGAAGTTACAATTCTTCAAATTCATTGAATGAAATTACTTCGTTGAAAAAATGATGTTGAAGTTTATCATCATGATTTTCATTACACAAAAATACTGCGAAACTAGCGGGAAGATCTAGTCTAATGATACGCTGCCCATAATGAATTCCGCTGATCATCGGTAAATTACTACTATTGTTCCAAGCCGATTACGAGTATAATATTTATAAGCGTGTCAATGATGTATTAGCAAATGGGGGCATGCCCTACGTGACTTTGGGAAATACAGTATATTATACTCATTGTTTGTGTTAACAATTTTCCCAATGACATTTCCAATGCATAATCATCAGGTTTCAGGTTATTTTATTCTTAAATTCGGATATATAATAGTAATAATAATATCTACACCATTTGGATGCCGGGGAGACGTATACTTACCTCGGGGTGGAACAACGCCACTCACAAGAGGTGACACCAGTGAAGAACTCTCTCCGCGGCAAGTATCAGCACAAACTTCGACAGATCTGGTCTTCGGAACTGTCGGGGAAGATCAAGGTTGCTGCAATGAATATGCTTGCCGTTCCAATATTACACTATTCGTTTCGAGTAGTAAAGGAGCTGTATTAAATTGACGTAAAGACCCGAGAAAAGATGCATTTCCATAGGAGTTTGCATTCCAAATCGTCCGTTTCACGGCTGTAGTTCCCCCGACAACAGGTAAGCCGTGGATTTTTGATTTTGAAGTATCTACATGACAGAATGGTACTAGATGTAGCCTATAAAGTCGTCAGGAGTTCGGATCCCCTTCTCTGCATGGTTCGCGACCGTGAGAGAGCAGGAATTGGAGCATTTCTGTTTAGGGCAGCTGCCCGAACAGCTGATGAATTTGGTATAGTTTTCGACATTGAACGAGGTGATTACAACTCTGTTACCGAGTTGGAACCCGTTCAGCAACCCGTTCACCTCACTTCTGCGGAAACACAAGGATGAGCCAATGCAAGCGGTCTTCTTCAATAACATTGGAGACCTTGGCTTATCAAAGAGCCTGACTTTCGCTATTCTCAGGTCGAGTGGGCTGAAGTCGGAAACTGAGGGGCATGCCAGGATGGTGTCTTCAACACATTAGTCTACCGCAGTCGAGTGATGGGTATAGAGGTTTCTCACAGAAGGTGCTGGGCCTGCCGGGAGGTGCCCGAGACCCTAATGCATTTGCTATCAGCATGTCCAGCATATGCGGTCTCAGCCTATATCCATCGACATAACGCGGCCATAAGAGTGCTATATTACCATCTAAGGCACTCTTACGGTACTGACACCGGTGTTGCGGAATTTATTGGAAGTATCCATTCCCTCAGGCTCATGTAGTCCTTCTCGACCACCAGAGCAAGACGATATCTGTCGTGGAGTTTTCAGCCTAGCGAGACGACTATCGTTCAAAAAGAGGAGGTAAAACGGATGAAATATTGAGATTTTCTCTTCGACGAAATCCGCTGACTCTATCCAAACCACTCTGTCAAGATGGTTGTTGTGATTATTGGAGTCCTTGGTGGAATGATGCCCTCTCAACTCATGAATCTTAAAATCACCGGCAGAAATCTTAGCCGGACCAATGCAGAAAGCCATCATTTCTCACTGTGCTTGCTCAGGGTACATGATTTTCGGAGCCAATGATAATTTACTACACGGCGTGGGGAGTGGCCGTTGGTTGATAATGCTGGCGCTCCTCCCAAATGTATCGGGGCTTCGGAGGATACGGCCTGACCAGCGCATACTACGTTTAAAAAAATGATACTAATAGTAATAATATAAAAAAGATAAAAATAAAAAACCAAAAATTTGGTTATTTGAATTTTTCACATAAATTTTGAGGTTATGTGAAAAAATTGTAGATACAAAAGTTGTAAATCTTTTCATTGCCTACAACTTTTCCATTCACTTTTTTCCATAGGACTTGTAGTTTTGCCGGAAATCGAGATAAACCATTTTTTACCCTCAGAAACTCACCCCCTTCCACTTCCCGAACTTAGATCGCCCGTAATTGATTTTTTCTTTCATTTACATCATATTTCCCACCTTTTCTGATGGGGTGTTTCATCCTACCTTTAGTTTTTTTTTACTTTTTACCATTTTTGAAGGCTGGTCTAAGTGCTTGGTCTGAATGCCTGGTCTAAATGCCTGATCTAAGTGTTGTGGAGGAATCTTCTTGAAACAGCTGTGCTAGCGATTTTTATTAATGTTCGTATATTGACATATTTTTTGGGGTGACACCGGGCTGGTGTCATCTCAAAAAAGGTGACGCCCGATCCGGTCCGCCCCTGCCTCACCCTCTCTGAGCCACTGGATCCAACTGATGTCATTACCGACTTTGGCAGACACAACTTTCAAAGCTGTTCAGTTATCTTCATTTCCTGAAGACGTCAACTTGGTTGATGAAACGTGCTTGTTTTTAGATTCATCTTACGTCAGAGTTTCCAGTTTCACCTTTCATTTCAACAACTTTCAAAGATAACCGAGAAAATGATTATTATCATTAGTATTAATGCCAGTTTTGTCACGTAAAATCTATGCGATCCATTGTGGGCGTACAAATAGGTCGGATTAAAAATTACTACCTCTCGTAAAGATCCAATGAATAACGAATAATTACGGCGTATACTCTGAAACCCCGTTATGAAGGAAATATATGGGATATATGGGATAGAGCGCTAATAGATGCGAATACACGAAGTCGTGATTCCGAAGGCATTACCAGTTCTGATAGAGGAAAGACCGTCTG